TATGATGTAGCAATGACATACAAAGTGCTTCTCAGTAATCATGATTGTAAGACAAATGCAATCCAGATATGATCTTTAGCAAATCAACAAATCATCTATGCCTATATTTCTCTACATGTCCTTTCCTGGCATCTTAGCAGTTTCCATGAATTCTTTGAAGTTACACTGATTGCACAGTTCATATTGCTGGAAGCTGTGTTTTGAATGTGCAATTCTGGCTCATGAATGAAGGAGTTTCTACAAGGACCTGATGAAACTAAAACACTACTAATAAGATATCACAGAACCATGAACCTGCTTAACTCTGTAAAAATCACTGGAAATGCCAAATATCCTTGACAGTGAAACTAGCATTAATGGAGTCACCGCTCTGTCCACCCCTGCAGTAAAAACCTTGGAGGACAGAAAGACATATAAAGTATGTAGGAAAGGAGCTCACTAGCCAGGAGTGTAAGACAAAAACTAAACAATCAGAGGCCACAGTCACAGAGCCACAAATAACAGTGATAACTAATTGCTCAGCTGTTTCCTGGGAAGTGTACATATAATCCTTGAGAAAACAAGTGCACTTATATGATACGAGACAATTCTACATATAAAAAGTTTCAAAGGTAACATCACTTCTAAAGAGCTTATATCTGAGATTTTATTTCACTACAAATTACTCAGTTTTATTATCACCTGTGGAACTACTGGAAGCAAACAGTCCTACTGAAATGAGCCCAATAAAAAGAGTGCACTGATAAATTTTTCTGGCCCTTTGGTACAGCTGTTCTGCCTGTATCATATGTGATCAACAGGTCTCAGAAGACCATACTCCAAATCACTTTCTTCAGCATTGAAACAGGCAAATCATCTATTTTTTGCCTCAATATCCAAAAAATGTCTGGTAGTTTATTTTTCTCCAGTATCAGACATTATAGATAGAATACACATTTGGTTTTTTGTTTGTTTGTTTGTTTGTTTTTTGGTTTTTCTCCGGTACCGGGAACCAAACTCTCAACCTTGCGCTTGCCAGGCAGGCGCTTTGCCGCTAAGCTAAGTCCCCAGCCCCTCAATGCCCACCTTTAAAAAATATTTTTAAAGAAGTTCTGGGCAAGATAACTGAGTCCCTTCATAAACTGAAGTCTCTGTGGCCAAGTGTCAAAGAAAATACATGTATAAAACCAATGGTTCTTAATTTAGAGTAAGCATAGGAGACACCCCACCCAAAAGTTCTGTTTAAAAAGTTGACTTCTACCCTGGGCATGGTGGCACATGCTTGTGATCCCAGCACTTGGGAGGCTGAGGCATGAGGATCTTTGTGAATTCGAGACCAGCCTGGATTACAAAGTGAGCTCAAGGCCAGCCTGAACTGCATAGCGGGACCCTGTCTCAAAGAAAAGACAAAAAAAAAAAAGTGGACTTCTAGTCCCCATCCTCCAAAACAAAGACAATGCACCAGACTACATACCAATTTTGATACTTAGTATACAAATTCCATTTGACAATTGAATTAGAAATAGTATAATAGGCAAATATGAATATCTCAACTCAATGTTCTTTAGTAGGGAAAATTTCTCATTATATCGCTAGATATTATAAAAACTGTTTCTTATTTCTGAATTTCAATCTTTACTAAAGTATGTACCCTTGCCAGGAGTGGTGGCAAAAGCCTAATCCCAGCACTCAGGAGGCAGAGGCAAGAGGATCGTTGGAGTTTGAGGCTAGCCTCAGCTACAAAGTGAGTTCAAGCCCAGCCTGAACTGCAGAGTGAAATCCTGTCTTAAAAAGACAAAAAAGCGCCTGCCTGGCAAGCGCAAGGTCGTGAGTTCGGTTCCTGGTACCGGAGAAAAAAAAAAAAAAAAAAAAAAAAAAAAAAAAAATTAAGAAAAATAAAGTTATGTACATTTTGCTTTCTCAGTTATCGATTATTCAGAAAAAAACCTTATTTTTGACAAATGGGCCAGCCATGGAGAAACAATATCCTCCAGTCCAGTTCCTTCACTTCACAAAGAAAATTCCCTGAGAAATCTTTGCCTCAGCCCTGCCAGCACTCTGGGCTGCTGATTCCTCAGCAGCTTGTTGGTTCTTTTTTTTTTTTTTTTTTTGGTACAAAGAATCAAACTCAGGACCTTGTGCTTGCCAGGCAGGTGCTTGTGCTGCTGAGCTACATCCCCAGCCTCCTAACCTGTTGGTTCTTTCTAAAGAAAGGATGGTAACTTTTCATGTAATACAGCATATGTTTTCTGACTTTAGTTTGTATGTGTCTTGGGATGAAGCCATATTTAGGGACATTAAGATGGAATTCAGATTTCTATGGGGCACTGACTGACAGCGTAGACTTGTTCTATAATCCTCTGCCCCAAACTCAACATGAGTCAATTCAACCAAATCCCAAAATTGGCTTAACTCTAGTCAGAGATGAAATAGAACTTGTATTAGCAAATTTTGAACACAATTATGGTAATTTCTTTTGTTATCTCATATTTGCTTGAATGAATCTTTAAGAAATATATTTACTCATAACTAAAAGCATAGAAGATAAAATTTTCTTTAGGTGCTGTGATAGTAAACTGATTGTGTCAACTTGAGTAAGAAACACACAGCTGACTGGATCAGCATAGTTAGATTATGAATCTCACAGACGATTAAAACTCCTTACCAAGAACTATTCAAGAACTGCTAACCCTCTGCTCTCTCTCTCTCTCTCCCTTCCTCCCTTCCCTTCCTCCCTCCCTCCCTACCTCTTTCCCTTTTTTCCTTCCTTCCTTCCTTCCTTCCTTCCTTCCTTCCTTCCTTCCTTCCTTCCTTCTTTTCCTTCCTTCCTTCTTTCATTCCTTCCTTTCTTGATGGTACTGGGCATAGAACCCAGAGAGGACTGAGTTACATCCACAATCCACAATATTTATTTATTTATTTATGTCTTTTATTATCAGACAGGGTCTCACTAAATTGCTCAGGCTGGCCTGGAAGTTGGATTCATCCTGCTCTCCTGCTTGAGTCTCCTGAGGAGGAGGTGTGTGCTACCAAACCCAGCTGACTTTCTCAACTTTAAAAGACAAAAGGAATCTGTTAGATTTAGGAGGGAAAATATTTGGGCAATTCCAAATAAAAGTAAGAAATTTATTCTCTTCCATCATAACTTCACTTACCATCTTAATAGTATCAATTACTACTATAATTGCTATTAATATTTACAAAGATACCTCAACTTTATTACATAAAAATTTGTTTCATATGTTTTCCCACCAACTTAATTTCAACCTTAACATTTATGTATTTAGGCCAATTAATGATTATTTCTAACACTGAATGACTATTTGAACTTTAAAACTGACATTCAGCTTCAAGTTAAATTGCTTCTCAATAATTGTACCCATAGCAATTTGTCATGTGATCAATCATAGAATTTTCAATGTGATATATACATTCAGACCCAAATATTAACTGGTTCTTTAAATACTTGTATTTCTCATCACTATACTAATTTTACTTACCGCTAACAACCTCTTCCAACTTTATATGACCCTGCTGGAGATAATGGATTCATATCGGCAGTGGCATAATTTCTACTGTACTTGAACACGGGAGTTTCAGCACATTTTCAGGCTCAGTCCCAACCCTGATGCGGCATTCTCTAGATAGAACATTCTCCCATTGGCTCCCTGATTACTGAGTCTATTGACTATAAAATAGACTATATTCTATTTTCCTGATCAAAGTAAATCTTACCACTTTTTAAACCCATCATGGTAATGCTATTCTCTTTCCCACTGACAAGGGCAAAATGAAGACTGCGCACTCTGGGTTGGTGCATCTTGACAGCCTTTGTGCAGTGTGGTTCTAATTTGTATCTAGGTGACCACTGATCTTCTCAACAGACTCTTAGCAAGTCATTCTCCACTGTGATTTTATAAACCACATGCTGATTTAATCATTTGTACCCTTACTTCATAGTAACAACCACAGTATAATTTTACATTTATTTGTAATTACATGATTGAAATCTGCTCCACCACTAGAATAGGAACTACAAAAGAACAAGGAAGAAGCGTTTGCTCACTGCAGATTTGCAATGCCTAGGCACGCGCCACTATACTAGCTAGAATGGAGCATGAACAATGGTAGCAGATCGCACAATTACACTCTTAGATTTACAAAGCATTTGAGGAAGAATTTTAAAGCACCTAGAAACAAAATTTATACTATTCTCATAGAAGTGTTATATTTTTCCTCTTTTTTTGACAGGAGAAAAATGACTCACTCAAAATGATTTATCTAATCAAGCTCTCCATACTTGCATTCCTTACTTTTGCCTCCAGAATAAACTTAGGACATTTATGTTCATCTTTTTCTCAGATTTTTGTCCCCTTATAATAAAAATCTCACTTTGTCATTTACGATGATTCTTCCCAACAAAAATGAAGGCTTCTTGAGGGAAAAGCAATAAATGTTAAAGAATCCCAATCACCCCTGCGGGGCTGAGTGACGAACCTTCTCTAACCTCGCCTGTGTCCGTCCTCTACTCTGAGCCCATCTGGAGTCCGGAAGCTAGCCGTCCTCGGATGTTCTTGTGTCATATCCTCAATGTTTCATGTTAGTTTTCTCTGAAAGTGAAGTTCAAGGGCAAAGATTAAGCCTTATTCTCTGACTCAACGCAGTGCCCGCAAATAGAGCAAATCAACACAATCTTAACTCGCGGAATGAAAATTAGCAGTTGGGGGAAGGTTCTCGAGCGCAGCGAAGGCAAGCAGATCCGGCGAGAACTAGAACCGCTCATCCTTTGAGAGCCCTTGGCTGTCCTTTTAAGGAGGCGTGTGAGGAAATCAGCAGCGCGGCGGCCATTGGCTGAGGAGCGCGCGCCGGTGGCCCGCACGCGGCTGCGTCGGCCTCGCGCCGCTCTCTGCCCCGCAGGGGG